TTTATTTTTTTATGTTATGAATATTTGTATTTGTATTTATATATAATACATGATTTGTTAGATGACTATTTTGCTGATCTTTCTCGCACATCATCGGCTGGTGGACTTGGATACTATAGAGATGCTTTTGATCACTTGTCTGATGATTGAATTTGGTGTACATAATATAACATAAACTATCAAATGAATAACGGTGGAGTAATATGTTTTTCTTATAAAACAGATTACATGAATGCCATAATAAAATATTGACTCAGAAAAACAAATTAAATATAGCAGGTGTAGAGGTTCATCTCAAGTCTTGATTTGTAGACCTAGCCTCTAATGTTCATTTTAATCAAGATTACAATCCCTTAAATGTTGAAGAACATGAAAATACAAAGAAAATGTTACCTAAGAATCAATGGTTGACAGAAGTGAGCTCTCACACAGGTAGCTCAATTTGTCGAGTGGTGAAAAAGTTGGAGGAATGATCAAGGATCGAAACTCACAACGATCATGTGGGGTTACAACTCATGTGTGCTGCGCTGGACGTGTTTGGTGCTTACGAGTACAAGGTCTACCACCATTGGGCTAACTGAGCCACTGTGACTTGCAACCTTCCATGTACCTTATTGAGTCAGGGCGTAGGGGCCCTTGAAGTTGGAGATTCAAGCTTTTGGAGGAATAAAGAACAAATAACACATTTGGGGACTACAAACTAAGTAAGGATTGAATTAATCATTTGTGATATATTTAGAGGTTTCAAAAGATTATAAAAAGACCTTTTGATAGTCTATTCACGATCCTAGATCTGATTGAGGAGAGATTTTTGAGTCATACCTTCCAAATGTCTTCATTTCAGCTCAAGAATATCTTACATGTCGTACTATTTTCCACAGAATTGGACCGAACAACGCCGATTTTAGCATGTGACTACGCCAAATTGCTCTCGGCTTTCGATCATTATGTTGTACACATGACTGGGGCTAATTAGGTGGTTGGACCGACACTGGTTTGCTCTCGGCTGTGTATTTTTGCTTATCCAGCACCATTAGGTGGTGGGCCCGGTGCCATTTGGTTCCTGAATCCCAATTAAATAGTTCAATTTTGGGTGCATTTTGGATTCAATAGTTGATCTGAAAATGCCATTTTTTTTATCTCTTTCCACTTGTGACTTCATTTTCTTCCTTTTATATCATAATTCACATTATTAGAAGATGAAGTAGGATGAAGATTAGAAGAATAATGAATAGAAATTGCACTAAATAGGAGTAAAAATACTTTGAAATTCCAAAATAGGAGTATCATGTTTTTTATTCCTTGAATATGAGTAATCTGCCAAGTTTGGGAAAAAATGTCATGTTTAAAAGCCTAGTAATGTCAAACTTGATAGAAATTTACTCCTATTTAGGGAATAAAAAACATGATAGTCCTATTTTGAAATTTCAAAACTTTTTTACTCCTATTTAGGGAATTTACTCAATAATGAATTCTCATTATTACCAAAAGAGTGGCGTACAACCAGTATATATACAAGGCAGGCTTAGCTAATTACAGTTGAGTCTATAACAACTTCTCTAAGAAGACTCTAACTAAGGATGTTTTTACTTGAGCTGTAATTTGTTGGTCTGGTCTGATCTGGTCTGGTCTGGTTTCTTTGTATTTTTATAACTATCCAAGTCTGGTCTGGTCTGATTTGATCTGGTCTGGGAGGAATTACAATCCAAGTAAAAACATTCCAGATGTGCCTAACTATGCCAGCTCACTTATACACGTATATTAGCACCCATTTACACCAGGACCACCACATCTTAGAGTTCTTACATCGAATTTTTTTGTATTCATTTTTGTAATATTGGATGTGTTCTATCTACTTGAATTAGTCTAGCCTAATCTAGTGTTATGGGGCCAAGGTTTGTTTAAATATTTTGTGTTGTTTGTATAAGGTGCATGTAACTATTATGTAAGTTTGATAATTTTAGTCAGATTGATTAAAATCTTACTCTGGTCTTAAATAAGAGTAAAAATAATGTAAAATTACAAATAAAATATACTTTTTACTAAAATATTTGGAAAATACTGTCAAATATGACATCAACACTGCCACATTAATTCCTAGCTAAAGATGCTAAAATATGATAATATGATTTCAGGGCCACGGTAATTGACTTAATCAAATGAAACATACATTGCTTTTGTTATGAAAATTTCGTATTATTTTTACTTCTATTTTAACAAATTATCCAAATTTACATGACGATTTGCACATCAGCACATGGATCATATTTGTGTTATCTTTCACCCTTTACTTTCTGGCTTCTGCAATATACTACAAAGTAGTGATGGCAACGGGGATCGGGAGCGGTTATACATATAACCGTGCCCACTCCGTTGGATAATTTCTCCGTCCCATAACCGCCCATTATCCAACGGGTAATATTTATCCAAATCATGACTGGCCCAACGGTTGACATGTATAATAGCGGGTAACCGTGGGTACTTGCTTTATTAAATGAGTCATTGATATTTTAATATAATAATTAATATTTTAAAAGATGAAAAATGGCATCCCCTAGGCGACTTTAGACATCACACGCCACTTAACAATTTCGTATATCTACAAGACGAGAAAGAAAGCAACATAAATTAATTTGAATCTAAAAATATTTGATCTGAAAAATAATTAATCACGAAAAAAATCTGATAACAATCAAACAAGACTATTAAAATCTATTAAGAACTTTCATTCATACATTATAGTTGGTACATCAATTATCCATATATACACAATAAAAAGAAAAATATCTCATCTTTAATTAGTTAAGGGTCAAATAATAGATAAAAATGTAATAAAAATATAATTTAAAATAAACGGGGCAGGTACGGGGCGGACATGTATAAAACTGTAACCCCCGTTACCTGTAAAACAAAACAAGTATTTCCTGCTCAGTACCTATTATCCGGTCAACGCTGATTTTCCCATTTTGAGATGCGGTTCAATGCGGGCATCCATCAGATCGGTCACAATTGTCATTCCTATTATGGAGTACTGCTTAAAAATATGATTTTATAACTCTGTATCGCAGCTATTGTAGATTTGTAGCACCACTAAGGCACTAATCTTAATCACTTCATTAATTAATTTTTATAAGTTGAGAGTCTGTGAGACTGCGACACCAAATCGTTAATTTGTGCCAGGTTTGGCGTTTCAAATGTAAAATAGTTATCCATTTATCCATGTATTAACGTGATACTGAAATCCTAGAAATGAAACGAACTTTTTGTAGAAAATTATTATCCACTGTACTAAAACCATCACACAAAATAATTACTGAAGTACGTAAAAAATACTCCACATTATGGTATCAATTACTACTGCATTTATTTCCAAATGTAACTCATGTTTTCCACTTGTAGTGGTTTAACTGCACTAATTACTCATTAATAACCAATGATGAACGTATGGCATATTTATGTATGCATCACTATCTTGCTACTTCAACTGGGAAGTCACTAATAATCATAACATGTTAATTTTTACCACGTATGTTTCGAAAAAGTTTGTCATATTCACTTTTCTTGATCAATGATGATAAACTTTCAATAATGGTTTTAATTATTGTATTTGTATATAATTTATAAATTTATATTTTTATGAAAATATTTTGAATAAGGAACAATTTGATATAATTTTCATATTTTAAATAATTTTGTATTAAAATATACGGAATATCAATTTGGCGAATCTTTTCGGAATGGAGGGAGTACTTTTTATTATTATATTTTTTCATTTTTATATTTTGCCAACCCTGTTGTGGCTTAAAGTTAGTACGGAGTAAAATTATTTTTAAACCCCAGACTTCTGTATTCGTCTTGATATACTTCCAAACCCGTGGGTATGTGCACAAAAAAAAACAGTGAATTGCCTAATTAAATATGAGTAATTATGTTTTCTTCTCTAAATAACACTCAATTGAGTTATATTTTGAGAAGAAAACGTAATTACTCAATTTTGTCTATGCTTTATACTCCTATATATATTCTGATTTTTTTTTTTATAAAAGAGATGCATGCATGCATGGTTCATCCAGTATAAGTATTGAATAGGCCCCACTATATTTTCAGGATTTTGGTTCTTGTACACGTCTGTTTTTTGTTTGTGAATAAGCAATTTTTTTATGGAGGAATTTAACTTTGCACCCACTTTTTTTGGGTGATATTTAACTTTACATCACATTTTCAAAAAACTTTGACTTTGCGCTCTATTCCAATTAATTTTATTTTGACTTTGCACCACATTCATAAATATTTCTACATAAAATGTTATGTTATGGAGTGCAAAATACAGAGTAGTTTTGTTTTTTCAAAATGGGGTGCAGAGTCCAATATCAGCCAAAAAGTGGGGTGCAAAATAAAATTCTTCCTTTTTTATTTGTATCACGGACAAAAATATTCTGGCTGTGACCAGGGCGGAGCCAGGGGAGGGCCAACCCTGGCTCTGGCCCAGCCTAAATTTAAAAAATGTTCATAGTTTTAGCGTAAAAAATTCTGTGTAATTTTTTTTTCAAATATATTCTTTGTGCCGGCCCAATCCGACCCAGTGCTCTGACACACATAAAGTTGTCGGTTCACAAACAAAATACGAGGCTGTGTACACAGAATAATGTACAAATTGACGTGCACAAACAATTTTCCTATTTCAAATGCAATAAATTGTCTAATTATCTCACTTACGCAGTTACACACATCCCTATTCCCATCGATCTACTCCGTACAATATATAGGACTGAGTATTTCCACCCTTCAATCTCGATTTATTCCTATATAATTATTGTACTATTTGTTTGTCACTAAGTAATGGGAAATGCCGTAGAAAACGACTTGCAGCATCCATCCTATCATTACCCATTTCTGCCGCCGCCGCCGCCGCCTCCAATCGAGAGAAGCGGCTTGCCGGAAAACTTTTGGATGGATAACTATGATGGAGATAACTACTTTCACTATTTTCCCACGCAAAGTGAGGATTTTCAGAGTTCTTTTATTGATGAATACTCTTTCCCCACCATGGACATGCTTTTGTTCAATGATAATGTCATTTCACCGTTTGGTAATGTTAATCCAACACAAACCAGGAGCATGGATGAAGGTAATTAGATGTTGTTCGTTCTATTTGTTTCATTTTTTAAAGACTTATAGTACGTGAAATGTGCAAGAAAAAATAGTGTGAAATATCTAGAGTATGAATGTATGATTAAGTATGTTAAAATTGACAAAACAAGTTACACTAAATAGTACTCCCTCCGTCCCTATGTTATTGTCCCATTGCGGTTTACGATGCTTGACCGACGATACACCAAACAGATCCCTGTCCACACTCAAATTATTTTTAGAAAAAAATTACATATTCAGAAACTACATTAAAAGATTTACAAAGTCGCAAAAACCTGAATCAAATTTTATAAAAATTTGATACATAAATAAGAGAATAAGAGTGATTTGTGTTGACCAAGTGAATAGAAAATGGGACAATGACATGAGGTGGAGGGAGTACTAATCATCAATACCATTACGAAGTTCACATCGATCTCATTGTACTTTGTCAAATTTCTTTTTTTGTTTGTTTCAAAAACTTTGTAACTTTCATTTTAAACTAATGAATTTGTAAGACTCTTTATTTTAATCTCCTCTGCACGATTCTCAATCACACAATTTTCATTTTTCTTATTTCACATTCAAATAAAAGTGCGCAATGTTGAGTGGGGCAGGGGGATTATTATTTTTGTTAATTTTCTACCCCTAGCTAGTATAACTTTTGTATGTGTATTTCGTAGATGGTCCACTATACCATGGAGATTTGGCATATGATAATCCGTTTGGAAGAGAAGAAGAGCAGAATATGATGTTATTGAGCGCTGGATACGGTTGTGTTACTAATCATAACGTTGAGATGATAAACAAGAGAAGTGCTCATGAAGTTGAGGAGAAGGAAGAGAATAATAGTAATAATACTTGGAATAACAAAAGTGCCATTAATTATAATAATACTTTATATGCCAATAATAATATTGTTGGAGGGAAGATTAAGAAGAAGAGGAAGGTTATTAGTGTGGAAAATGGAGGCAATAACAAGAACAAAGATATTTGTAGTTCAAAAATGCTTTGTAGGGAAAAGATCTCAAAATACTTCCATATGCCAATCACAAAGGCAGCAAAGGAACTAAATGTGGGGCTGACGTTGCTGAAAAAGAGGTGCCGGGAATTGGGAATTAGACGTTGGCCTCATCGGAAGTTGATCAGTCTCCAAACCTTAATTGCCAATGTTAAGGTTAGCCATTTATATATGCATGCATGTTATGTCCACAAACCATTCTTGGTGTAGATGTTTTAGGTACAGATTTGACATATACCTACCAATCCTTTTATAAATTTGGCAAATCTTTGTCAAAAATCTATGTCAATCTCATGTTTTTTTGTTGTGTGTACCGTCTTAGATGAGATACTTGTGGGTTGTGTACCCTAGTTAGCTGTTTTGCCTTTTAAACGCGTCTTAAACACGTACTGTTTTTTTGAGTAAAAAAACACCTATAAAACGAAAAATAATGTCGGTCCATTTAAAAGGGGAAAAAACTCATACTTCCCGTATAAAAACCTATTTTTCTCGTATTTTACAAAAAATAGAAACATGAATTGATGAATTGAATGAATGCATTAAATGTATAGGAGATCAACAATGATTTAAAAGTTAAAAGGAAAACCTCCTCCATGTGGCCCCCCCCATGCTTTTGCATTGTTACAATACAACATATATTACTACAATTTGGGAGTATTATTTAATACTAAAATTAATTGCATGGCGGCTAAAGCTATCATCCTAAAATTACAAACTAAAGCTTTAATTCTGATGTTTTTCCAAACAAGCATATCAAAATTAAGGTTTTTTTCCTAAACCTTACATTTTTGAGTATAAACTTTTACACTAACACAATAATAAGCGTAGTAATCGCACAACTTTTCTCATATGTCATTCGTCATATTGATAAAAATGATGAGTTTGACTTGAGTGTTATTTGATGATCATATAAAGATAACGATTTTAACTTAGTCTCATTCTATTGTTACTATGCCTTAGTTTTTCACATTATTTTGCAAAATTATGTCTTGGACTTAATTACTACTACGTATTTTAATTTTTATCATCAATTTATGCATTTATGAATAATTCTTTTATGTGGTAATGAGATTTCCTACTTCAAAATGTGTATGATGTTATTTCTTTTTACTATATATGTTATTTTGTGAAGTATATAATTTAAATGTTCGAAATAATATCTCGTATTTTTTTCCCGAATTTTTGTAACATACTTCGTATATAATATTATACACATGTATATATATGTATTTACACGTTTATTGAAAGTCAATGTTTTATCAATGAATTTTTGACCATTTTTCATTCGTTACCGAATAAAACCTCGTTTAATTCTCGCATAGTATTTACCTATACTGTGTACACAAATTGAATAGACATGTGTGAGAAAAACGTACAAAAACGTGTAGAAACAAATTTTTCATACGTTCACACTAAATCACACCCTCCCTCACTCCTTACTACTAGTAGTAACTACGTAGTATTAATGATCACTTGTAATAATTACTTCGTAGTAATGGAGGTTACGTAATTATTAATTGCATTTATATCATTTCGTGAAACCTTATAATTCGAATATGAGTAACATCATTTACGACTTGTCATTATTCATAATATATGGTAAAATTTGTGATACGGTACCTTTTCCATCAATTATAATTAATGCTCCCATAGCTAGCTTAAACATAATTTTGAATATATAGCTTAAACATAATTAAAAAATACGATAACTCGTTTTAATTTTTAGTGTAGTACAGTAGATGTCTTATTGTTTAAGGGGTAAGGTGTTGCAATGGGGTCGTTTGCTTTTCAGCGATTTATCTCCTTCAAACACTGCAATTATTAGATGCGTTTCAAACTATGAGGATGATGCGTTTCAAATTATTATATGCCTGTTTTTTTTTGCTTTTGTTGTTAAAAAATGATAATAATTTTTTTATTTTTGATCCGAATTTTATAAAATTTATATCAACATTTTTTATTTTTCATGATCTTTCAAATGAGACCAATATTGCTTATGTTATTTTAAGAAATTATAGAACTATTATATTAATGAGTATTGGATTATAAGAAAAATCGAATCTGTTTGGGAGATGATAGGTTTGTGAAATAGAAGATCGAATATATTTAGGAGTGGATCAGTGGCCTCAGTTACATTTGATAATACATTGAGTTACATCTTTTTATGAGCGAGTTACATCTTTTTATAAGCAAGTTACATCTTTTTATAAGCGAGTTACATATATATACACACGAGTTGTATTTGACATGTCTGAACGCGAGTTACCTATATTTACACGTAAAGTTACATATTTTTACATGTAAAGTTACATATTTATACACGCGAGTTACATATTTATACACACGAGTTGCATTTGACCTGTCTGAACGCGAGTTACATATTTTTTTACGTAAAGTTACATATTGTTACACGTAGAGATACATATTTATACACACGAGTTGCATTTGGCCTGACTGAATGTGAGTTACATATTTTAACACGTAAAGTTACATATTTTACACGCAAATGTTAATATGTTAAAATTACATAGGCAATATTGGTCTCATTTGAAAGATCATGAAAAATAAAAAATGTTGATATAAATTTTATAAAAATCGGATCAAAAATAAAAAAGTTATTAACATTTTTTTAAAAAAGAGAAATAAAAAAATAATGAATTCAATACCCTGCTTGCCAAAAACGTATGCCGGTATACGGTGCTCACCGTATACCGGTATGCCAAATGCGTTTCATGTGTAAAAAGAATGACATTTGGATAAAATGATGATATCCAAATGCAACAAATTAATGCATCACAAAATTAAACACATTGTCTCCTAAAACGTTTCTAATTATTTTTATTTTTTATTTGAACAATATAATTCATACTCCCTCTATCCAATTGGACTTTGCCAATTTTTCCTTTTTGTTTGTCCCAAAAAAATTTGTCACTTTCCTATTAAAGCAAGTAAATTGTGGGTCTGCTCATTTCTGTTTCCTCTTCACAATCCTCCGTCACGCAATTTTTACAGTTCTTATTTCTCACAAACTTTTAACTTGTATGTAGTATTTTAAATATAAAAAAAATTGTGTATGTGTTAGCTTAGTACTGCTTAATTTTGAGCAATTTCTACTGTTTTGTCACAGGAGTTGGGGAAAGAAGAAGATGGGAAGGTGAGGGAAGTTGTAAAGTTGTTGGAGAAGCAAATGAAGGAGATAAAAGAGTGTCCTGACATAGAGATGGAAGACACAACTAAAAAGCTTAGGCAGGCTTGTTTCAAGGTCAACTACAAGTGGAAGAGGAAGCAGCTCATGATTGGCGGCGGCAACAGCATGCTCCAACAGCCGCAAGTGTGGTCGCCGCCGTTGTCTTCTGCTTCCGGCACCCCTGTGAACTTTGCCGGCGGTGATTATTATTTTGAAGCAGATCCTGAAATTAGTTCTATGTCATATTGCTTCTCGTCCTCTTCTTCCTCTTCCCCCTAAAATGGGTTGACGTTTAATTTCCATTTTCGCATTTGAACCTTTTCATTTAGATATGGTCGTCGTTTAATCTGTTGCATACTTCTCGATCGTATATGTGGGATTTGACTTATTAAATTAATTTTCACACAAACGCATTGCTATATACAACAAGTACAACAATTCCAGTTCCTAAATACAAGGCACGATAAGCACTATCTACACAAAAGTAGGAACTCAAGTTTGAACAATTCAAAATTATTATACACAACAATATTTTGACTATATGCCAATGAAGAGTGGTCGGGGAGTGCATGAACTGGAAAACTCTATTGACAGCATAAGCAATGTCAGGATGGGTGATGGTGACATATTGGAGTGAACCGACAATCTGGCGAAAAAGCTTGGGATCAGAGAATGGATCGCCATGACAAGTAAGCCGAGAAGTGGGCTCAGCAGGGGTAGATATAGGCGATGCTTCTATCATGTGAGAGCGCTGAAGAATATCGTTAATATAGCTCTGTTGGGACAACGTGATACCGGTGGAACTTCTGGTGATTTGCAAGCCTTGAAAAAAATGCAGATTTCCAAGATCCTTGAGAGCAAAAAAACTTGGTGCAATTGAGTGATGAACTGCTGAATATGAGCTGCATTTTTTCCTGTGATAATCAGGTCATCCACGTATACAAGAATGTATATGATGGAGACGGAAGAGATGTGAACAAACAATGATGGATCTGACAAACAAGCTCTAAACCCGTGGGTGACAAGAAAATGTTTCAGCTCGTTGAACCACGCCCGCGGAGCTTGTTTGAGGCCGTAAATTGCTTTGTGAAGACGACACACATGGGATGGACGAGAAGGATCCTCAAAACCACGGGGTTGTTTCATGTACACCTCTTCGACTAAGTCACCATTGAGGAAGGTGTTGTTGATATCAAGTTGACGAATACACCAACCATGGGACAAGGCAATCGAAAGAACCAGCCGGATCGTGATTGGCTTAATAACCGGACTGAATGTGTCAAAGAAATCAATACCCTCCGCCTAATTGTATCCTTGGCAACCAAACGAGCTTTGTAGCATTCAATGGAACCATCTGAGTGTCGTTTGATCCTGTAAATCCACTTACAACCAACAACATTGACATTAGTAGGACAAGAAACAATAGACCAAGTGTTATTTCGCATGAGAGCCGCATCATATTCTGCTTTCATCGCTTGCTGCCAGTAAGGGTGTTTAATGGCCTGAGCAAAAGTATGTGGCTCACAATGAGAAGGAGAAGAGATGGCAGAGAGGAAGGTTTTGGGTTTTAGAGAGTGGGTGCGGGCACGAGTGACCATAGGGTGAACAGTTTTATGTGTATAGACGGAATCTGTAGATTGAGATTGGAAGTGGCTGTGTGAGCAAGGGCCAAAATTTTGACTATTACGGACTTTCAGGTAAATTGGATTCTAACTCTGACATGAATCTTCATATTCTCAGGTTGGGTGAGCATCACTCTCATGGAAATGATTTCTCTATATCGGGATTTTTGTTAAAAGTTAATAGAGAACATTTTTTAATTTGTTTTGAGAAACCCTTGGTGTTGCATACTGTGAATGAATCTTTAAGGATTTCTGATCTTCAAAAAGTCTTCTCGATCAATTTTTAATCACATAATTTAAAAAATTCATGTCTCTTTTTTGAGTAAGCATTGTCGACATATGAGCTCACATGTAATCAATACTCTGGAGGTTTTCAGAATGACCTCATTGGCCATGAATTTCTTGGTCATGTTTCAAAGGGTGAGAAGAGAACTCCTTTCTCACCAGTGGAGGATCTTTGGCACTCTGATACAAATAAGGATATTTGTAACAACCTATCTTGGTCATGAGAGACAATTGCTTGCCCACAGGAAACTTTAACAATCAAATTAAGGTGTATAGGAAAAAATATCAACGGTCTCATCTCATGAAAATGAGATCACAGACACGCATGGAGTTTCACAATATTGACGGAGCTATGATTTTATTTAGGGAGTGTTAGGACCTCACAAACCACAGAAGGAAATCACAGGAATAATGAATGAAAGATGTAAAAGTAACTAAACTTCATTAACAGAGATGAACAGTGTACAGAGTCCCAAAGAAGGAGATAATACTCCAACTTCCCAGTCCCAGACTCAAAGTCTAAACAGCCTGCCTTCCCTCAGCGGCTTTATTCTATATATAGCCTTCTAAAAACAGAAGGTCGTTATTAGTTACTAACAGCCAATAACTAATAACAAGCTAGTCTATTTGGGCCTTCTAGAATATACTCTCCCATTGTATCTATTCTTATTAGTTAGACCAGCCGGATCCCTATCAGGGAGCCTATCATATGTTGTAATTGGGGTTGGCTTTTAGCAAACATCGTTTTTCCTTTTCCTTTCTATTTATTTCTTGTTTTCTACGGAGTAGTTTTTATTTTGGGAAATTTTCCGAAATATAACTAAAACGTATTGAGTTTGCCTTAAAAAATCTACATATCTTGAGATTTTATAATCACAAAAACAGTTAGAGTATATATATATATATATATATATATATATATATATATATATATATATATATATATATATATATATATATATATATATATATATATAGGAGTATTCATGTGCGTCTGGCTGCACCAGAGGGGCCGTCCGGTCGACAGCTTTTGGTCGCCTTCCCGGTGGAAGTTTTTGATGATATTTTTATGGCATTTTCTTCATCAAGTCTAGTTTATTCACAAAACAATTCAGCTAAAAACTCAATCCGGAAGGTTGTCAAATGATTTTTGGAAGTTAACTGCGTTTTTCTATGTATAATATAGCACAGTTAACTTCAAAAAATCATTTGACGACTTTAGCTTCCAGATTGAGTTTTTAGCTGAATTTATTAATGTACCTCAATTTTAATGTCTTCAATTCACTGATTTTATTTTTGGATTCACTTTTTAACCAATCTCTATGGTATTTTTTTTTTACTCTTTGATGTTTTGCTTAACCCCTGTAACCTTTTTATCTATTAAACACAAATTTTAATGTAAAAAATTAAATAGCTTTCTTATAGATTTAATATCTATTAGTATCAACTTTTACTCCGTATCTATTAATTGGACTAGTTTAAGTACAATCCAAAGAGTCATTCAGATCAGAAAGATTCAGATCAGATCAAACCAGAGAAACATTCAGATCAGAACAGAAATATCGATTTATCACTTTTATTATTATTATTGCTATTATTATTATTATACTATTATTATTAGTATTATTATTATTAGTATTACTATTATTATTATTATCATTATCATTATTATTATTATTACTATTACTATTAGTATCATCATCATCGCCTCATCATCATCATAATCATCACCACCACCACCACCATCATCATCATCATGATCATCATCATAATCATTATAACAATTATAATTATAGAAATAATCATAATTAAAATATAATTACAATTATAATTATAGCTATAATTATAATTAGTTTAATAGGTATAATAGTTATAACGATTATGATTTTAATTATAATTATGATTATAATCATAATTATATATTTTTATAATTATGATTATACTTATAATTATATTAAAAGTATATTTATAATTACAATTGTAATTATAATAATTATAAGTATAATTAAAATTAAAAAAAATCATATCAGATCAGAAAGATTCAGATCAGTTCAGAAGGATTCAGATAAGATCAGAAAAATTCAAATCAGAGCTGACCAGATTCGACAAAGTCAGATCAGATCAGAAAGATTCAGATCAAGTGTAGAGATTCTAGAGAACAGCTTCTAAATGTCTCGGTTTAACCCCGACCGGTTTCATGAGATATCCCTTTTCTACTTACCAAGCTATGTTACGTCTCTGTAAATTGTACCATTGATGGGGTTTGTGCTTCACAAGAAATACACATTTAAACCAACAATCTTAGAACTAGGTCCCAGTGTCCCACATTTTGAGTATTTTGCGTATTTTACAACTATTTAAGTAGAAACCGCTGAAAAATGAAACGTTTTCATTTGGAAAAAACGGCGGATCAAAGCCAATCGGCTATATCCAAACGCCGCCTTTGTCTAAGACAGTTATTTGTGTAAGTGAAGATGTTCTATCTCTTTGTGCTGTCGATATTCGAGTAATAAAACTACTAATTACTTCCATTCTATCGGGTGGGGGCTTGAGAACGTCTTGGTGGGCGATTCTACGTTTTGGCTACACATAAATACTAATTGGTCGTTGTAAAAAAGACCAGTGCAATGGAGACGGCCTCGACCCAATCGCATCATCTTAGCCAATATGAATTACGTAGGATTTGTAAAACCAATAATAATTCCTTCGCTTTAAGAATGTCCGAATTGCCAGTTCGCCACTAAACACGGCTTTTAGAAAAGAATCTAATTATGCACTACTAACATGATCAAGATTACTAATTCATATTAATATTATAGTATTATAATTAATATTACTTCTACGTCATCTACTCCTTCCGTTATTTTTTAGTTGCAAATGTCAACATTTCACATTTGTCAACGCACGTCTTTGACCGTAATTATCTTAATTCTATAAGTAAAAAATATTAAAAATCAGATTTTAAAAATTTGTAATGAGCTGAATTGAACAATATTTTTTAAAAAAAATTATTTTCATAAAATAATAGCGTAAAATGTATTTCCATCATTTGCAACGGAGCCAAAGATTCATTATTTTTTGGCTTGAGATTATGATGGAATAAAGCAAAATGGCTTATTAAACTGTCTGCGCTTCATTGTTATGAAGCAGCAATCAGTCGATGCAATTTTGGACGGGATTTTCACTATGGGTCGTCCGGAAACAGTCTCTCTGTGCTTTAGTACAGGGGTAAGACTGCGTACATCCGACACCCCTTTAACCCAACATAGGTGAGAGCCTTTGCAGCACTGGGGTAAATGAAAATGATGAAATAACGTAAAATACAGTCAAAGTAGAGCATGTGAATAATGTAAAATTCAACATCTTACGATTAAAATAAACAGAGGATAGTATATTGATATTAATAGTGACATTTTTTTATGTTAGCATCACATTTTTAATATGAAAGTGATTTTAAGTTTCCACTAGTGTTAATTTTTTTTAATGAATATTACGGAGTATAAGATTATTTTTGTTCAAGTATATACGACACTTGGTCTTTTTAAACTTGCCTCGTTCTCTTTCCTTCGTTTGATAAGAGAAAGTGAGAAAATAAAGGGATTTAAATACATGTTTTCGTGCATAACATGACCGTATATGAAAAAGTTTACTTTAACTTTTTCTTTTTGTTGCTTTTGACTTCTCAATCAACTAATAATTACTAAACAATAGAAAGGAAGTTAAATTGTTACGAAATAGGCTATTTATTATTAGGGGCTTAGGGTAGTAGCGTCTTGAGATTCCACCATTCAAAACGTAGTCTTCCTTCCTCCATAACTACTCTCTTTATTCGAAACTAGATAGATGTTAAAATCATTAGTAATATAGGCTAACTTTTTCACCAAACACGTAACCTTTCTTTTCGCGCGCTGAATTATGTAATAAGTAGAAAAAGTAAGGTTGGAGTTACTTTTCTGGTTGTATTGGCTGAAGTTACTGTATGACAATTTTAGCTATTTTTACATAAATTTTTTTCTTTATTTTATTAATAAAATATATTTTAAAAATAATTTTTGTCTTAAATCAGCAAAATCAATCAATGTAGCCACTTCAGCCAGAACTTCATAAATTTCAGCAGAATCAGCCGAATCTTTGACTAATTTCGTGTTACCAAACGGGCTCCTAATCTTTGATTAACATTATAATGAAGACTCTTATTTATTGATCATATATATACCAATCAAAGATATGATGATGATGATTATAAGATGCCAATACCTCTTAAACTTCCCATATACCATAAAATCTTCCGCTACGCTAGAGTTATTCCTTACCCTTTATCTAACATTCCATTCTTAGTTTATCTGTCACACAACGTGTGCATATGCCCTCAGTCCAATTCAAAAACATTTTTTCTATTTTCCTTTCGAATGTTGTTTTACTTATTTTAATCCAAATCTCAACTACATTCAAAAAAAGAATTACCAAGTCAATCAGAAATTTATTGCAATTTGCAAACAAATTAACCACTCCTCTAAAAGGCTTCACTTTAAATGTAAACATGCTCCATGATATTGCCCCTAAAAGGCTAAACTACTTTTTAGAAAAATATCATCTTTGGTTTCCCCCACTTCTTTTATGGCATGTATTTCAAACATACCAATAATTACTGTACAAAGTAGTAAAAAAGGAGTAGAAATGAAATTCTAAGAACATACGGAGTACTTTCTGCATCCTCGGTAGTTTAAATAGTAGTTTTGCTCTTTCTGATCTCCAACTCAACGAAAAAATTATATCATTCTTGTTATTATCATTGATGGAGAATTTGAGGTCTAAATCAACAAGAGAAGGAGGCAACTGGCGGCAGCCTAGCAGTTTTCCCCCAACAAGCAGCAGGAACGATTTCAGAAGTTACAGCACTTCGTCTTATGCTGCTAATGATAATAATGATAATGAGGAAGTGAAAAGGAAGACAGCGAAGAGAAGCAAGAGCAAAGTCGTCGTGTCACCGTTATCGTCTCAGAGCTTTCGTGAAGCCGAAGAGCAGAGGAAAAAGAGAGTTGAGAGTTACCGGGCATTCGCCAAGGACGGGAAGGTGAAGGGTTCTTTAAGGTGGATCAAAGCCCACTTTTTCTCTACCTGCAAGTGTTAGTGGTGTACTCTTCCACTATATGAGTGTAATATATATTCTATATAAAGGAAAAGAATCTCTGATCTTAATAATTCATCTATGAATCCTCATCTCTTTCTCTGCATTACTATAGATTCCCTCCCCCCCTCTCTTTTTTCTGAAATTTGTAGGGGAAGCCCGGAAGGTACCTCCATTTTTTAAAGTACGTATATACCTCTTCAAGAGGAGTACTAATAGAGTTATGCAATTTGCTAAAGTTTATAAATATTGCGCTTTTGATAGATTTCAAGAATAGAGAATATATATGTAGTCTTGGAAAGCTGCAAGTTCCTACCATGTAATGAGTAGGGTTGGACTCGGGTCCGGGCCGGGTCCGGGTCGGGCCTAGGCCCGGGCGGGCCGGCGGGTCAGAAATGGTGGACCCGGGACCGGCCCGGGTAACCACCGGGTCCGGTCCGGGTCCGGGCCAGGCCCATTATATTTTTTTTTTGTTTTCCTCTTCCTAATTAACCCCCCTCCCACCCCCAACCCCCCAAACCACCCCAAATGGCCCAAAATACCCAGCCCAACCCGAAAAGTTAAAAAAAATTGAAAAAAAAAATATTTTTTGGCCCGAACCGGGCCCGGGCCCGGCCGGGTCGGGCCTTGTTTTGGGTGACCCAAGCCCGGACCGGAAAACCCACGGGCCGGGCCTACCGGGTCGGGTCGGGCCGGAACAGTGTCGGTCCCGGGCCGGTTCCGGGTCGGGCCACCAGGCCCGAGTCCATCCCTAGTAATGAGGATTTAAAGAGTTTCCCCTACATCTATAAATAAAGCTCTTGACACCTTATGTAAAACAAGCCAAAGCATATAAACTACTACAAATCTAGACTATACTGGAGAGAAGTGATGTAGTCTAGAATTACTCATACAAACCTTAAAGTTACAAATGTGATATAGAAATGTCCAACTTGGATAGTGAAAATTTGAACTAATGTTTATTGCTAAGCGACTTCTTGTGGATTGGCTACACAAGAAGTATAAATATTACTGTAAAGAATCTCATTTTGAACAAAATGATAATCCATGTTACCTCAATAGTCAATATGCTTTGTAAGTTCACAAAAACCCGGATTAGCCAAAATATGAAGTGTTGTTGACTTGTACTATCAAAACAAACTTGCATTGATCCGGAGTGACAAAGATCAAGGCTAGATAACAAGCATTTGAGTCGATGGACACAGAAGTGATTGCTGACATGTTACTCCACATCAACCAATGAGCGGGCCACTGTGTATTGCTTCTTTATTCTAATTTGTAAAATGAGACATGATCAAAGCTATACTAAATTACTAACCAATCTATTGGAGACTTGCAAGTCAAAATCACGAGCAAGAGCAGCACAAACCAGTGCTAGATTTTCAAATCATGTGCAAGAAGAGGTCGTTAACTCTATTTTGACATTATAGTTTCAAAGAAAGATGTAATAGTTTTGCAGTGTAGTCAAGTGCTCGGTTGTATGAATTCATCCTGGAGACTGTTTATATAATGCTGTCGCAAGATGATTGTAATTTGTAAGTCACGAGTGAGAGCTGCACAAACCTCAGGTAGATTGTCATGTTTATGCATGAGCAAAGAGCTTAAGATAGATGCATCTCTTCTGCAACGAGACTTTGGAGATATATCATAAGAGTTGTTCAAAAAACTGTAACTTATCACAAAGTACACCCCTATTTTCCTTCTTTGTACATTCCCTTTTTCTTTGATCTTTTATTGTCTGTAGTCTGCACTCTGCACAATGTGTCTTGGTCTCGAAAGGCAAGCTCCTCCCTTATCTTCCATAAGTTAAGATTTTTTACAAAGGAAATAAATTTGTAAATTTATAGTTTATACGGTGAACACCTAGATATGTAAAATTTAACAAATTTGTTTATTACATTACTATTCTGTTTTAATTATTGCACTGTTTTATTTAAAAAGAGACAATGATGCCCTTTCTCCCTACTCCTAGCATAGTCAGACAACTAATAACACACAAAACGTCATACAAGAACACAGATTCACTGCCAGAATGAACCCAACACAAACACCAGAAAGGCTACATCTTTTTTCAGTCAGCTACCAGAAATAATGTATCTAAATACAACAAGAATTGGTTCTAAAGAAGACTCAGAGTTGGCTATACACAATTCTATGAGAATATTGCATGCTCTCAACTATCTGTGGGATGCCTAACATACCTGCAATGAGGAATTAGGGGTCTCCACAATATGCCAATCCAAGAAACCACAAAGGATCTAACAAAGCAGTTGGGTTTGTTCAACGGTACAATGCAGTATATAACGAAACAATCAAGACAACTAATACATCTACACAACTGGTTAGTTGTTGAGAACAAAAGTACTTTAATCTAAAACACAATTAAAATAAATAAGAAGAAAAACGTCAAAAAGGGTCCAATATCTCACTTCCTGTAAGGATGAAACCTCCCTGCTCCAGCGCCACTGTTTCCATATCCTCCTCCCCTGCCACTTCCAAAACTGCCATCACCACCACTGCCATATCCCTTACCACTACCACCAGCATACCCACTGGAGCCAGCATAATTACCAGAAGTCCCATAGGGGTTCCCTCCATATCCCATAGCACCATACATAGCCCCACCAAATCCAAACCCATACCCATATCCTCCATATGCACCATACATTCCTGCAGAGTTCATTCCATAATTCCCCACATAGTTTCCATAAGCACCATAGCCTCCATACCCACCGTAAGCATTTCCCATTTTTCCACCATACCCAATGCCATATTCCTCTGTGACATTGTTAAAATTGCCATATGATTTTGAACTATTCCCACCACGACGTGTTCTACTCTCACTTGGATGATTACCACCAGCTCCTTTAGGCTCGGCCCTCTTAATTTCAACCTGAGATACAATGTATGAAAGAGTTTTTTCATTCTTTCCTTTTCCGGAAAAAGACAAACAGATATATGGAACTAAAAATATGAAGTTACAATTTCTCTCTCAATTGTCACTGAGGTTGAGAAAATGCTGGCAAACTAAAAGTAACAAAAAACTATTACTCACTTGTTTTCCACTAATTTCATGCATGTGCCCATCAGATAGAGCCTTTTCAACAGCAGCTTCATTATCAAACGTTATGAAACCAAAGCCCCTGGGCCGACCAGTATTGTGATCAACCATAATTTGACACTCGATAATATTGCCATATGATGAGAAATATTCCTTCAATCCATCTGAAATAACTTAAGTTGGTTAATATATATACAGTATGACCATAATTAACCTCAAGACAAAAAACAGATACAGACATATGCAGCCTTTACCTTCATTTAGAGAGAGTGGAATACCACCAATAAATATTTTCTTTGTTTTAGAGCCTCCTCTAAGTGGCATGTCCTCCCTAGGTACAGTCCTCTTTACTTCCACCTACTCACAAATAAAGAATTAAAAAAACTCTAAGAAGACGAAAAGCTATTAATGATGGTAGGCTATATCTTAGTTTTATCAAAAGTTGAAGCCTACCACTCGACCATCTATTACATGTTCTTCTTTTAGAACCCTGTTTGCAACCTCTGCGTCAACAAATGTAACAAATCCAAAACCTCGCGGTCTTCCCGATAACTTATCCATCATTATTATAGAATCAATTAGTTCTCCATATTTGCTGAAGTACCTGCTAAAAGTTTCTGGAAGCCACCAAATACAATGAGACTGGGAAAGAAATTTATTTTATGTGGTGGATAAACTGACATAAAAGCACTGAGCAAGATATTGTGACAAATGTATGAAAACAATTTCAGATCAGTGCAAATATAATAATGAATATGTCACACCCTCAATCTACTGATTTGATTTATTCCTTTACCTCTTATAGGAACCTAAAAGTCAATTTCATTATCATTTATTCTTTTCGTTATACTTGCTTGATTTAAGTTTAGATGCAGTTGAAAATTTCTGGGTATCCTGGGTTTAGTCCATATCTCAAACAATTTCAAGTAACATGAGTGTTATCTATATAAATTTTACATCTGCGACAGTATCACTGAGTACCGGTAGCGCTACTTGCAAATACATTTTAAAAACTGACCTACTCACAAATAGAGAAGTGTACCTGCGTGACCAAAATAAATGTACCCCAGTCCCCAGTTATACTATAATCAATGTTTTAAACTGAGAGTTTAAGCTTTGAGGCATTATGCAATTGTGAGGCGAGGTGTAAGTGCGTAAGCATAACTGCATGTCTCAAGGCATTTTGAAGCTTAAGCCTCACTTTATATAGATCTTCCTTCACAAATCAAAGTAACAAACGAAATAAAGTTTTACTGAACATCCAAACCTACATAGGAAACAAGTCAAAATAAGTGTCAGAAGACACTAGTGTAGTTTTAATTCTTTTCCATTTCATTAGATTGTTTGGCCTAAAAAATCAGAAAAAGTTGTTCAAATGAGAAAGCAGAGGAAAAATAGATGGAGATGTTGATATTCTGAAGCGATTTGAAGAAAAACGAAACAAATATAAAGAGGTTTTTGTTTACTCTGCTGATATTGTTTGAATAAAAAAGAAGACGGGTAGTTGGAGCTGTTTAGCTTTTTAGAAACCTTGCAGGAAATAAAATAAGAGCAGAATAGCAGTTGCAGTAGCTCTGCAAGAAATGCTTGCACTTTGCAATGTTTGCACTTTGCAGGAGTGCAGGTGAGTTCGTAGGTTATGTGAAATAAATGAACTTTATAAGTAGGACTGTCAAAATAAGAGTTAATTTCATAAAATAGATTTGAGGGATTTAAACAGGTTTGCTGACTAAGCACGGAAAAACGATAGGCCCAATACCATTATTAATTAAAAATAAAAAGCCAAGATAAAGCTTAAAAACAGAAAATGTGACTTGAGCTTAACAAAACGCCTTGAAGACTAAGCCTCACAAAACAACACAAGCACATGAGGCTTACAACTCAGTTCAATCAATTGACACTTAAATCTCAACGCTTTTTTCACCACCTCAATCTACCAGCATAAGGAAAAACATTGATTATCTTTTACCAGCAATTTCTTTCTCATGCATCTGTTCAAAGATGACTACAGACTAACTACTAATTAACTATCCATCAATTTATTATCAGGTGGCAATGTGACAATCAGAATTTCAGATGATATTAGTTCAGCCTTACAAAAGTATCACATTTAGAAATCATGTAAACATAAAAGATTAATGTAAAAGAAGTGCATTTGCACATTCAAGGTAAAGTGAAGCAAATAAAATACTATGTATTTACATTAGAATTTGGAAAGACAGAAACTTTGTGGATACTCTAGAAAAATTGTACCTATAACAATAATTGTCAGTGGAACAAAAATTGTTTGCCAAACAAATCAAGAACATTTGATTCCTATAAGTAATGAAAGAACAAAACATCCATCCACATCTACACATAACCTGCCAATGCAGAAAAAAATACATAGAAGAGAATACCTTCGGACGTTTCCCAAGCAATTCCTCCAACAAAGAGCTTTCTATGTAAAAAAAACAAAAACAGTGGTTAGTTTAACGTTTACCACATATTCTTTCTTACTTCTCATATAAGATAATTTTTAAAAAGAAGCAATCAAATTAGCAATCAAGTGGAATGTTTATGATTTTGAATGTTAAGCTTGGAGCACTAAAGTTCTTTCCGCAAATAAGAAACCCAACTGAACAAGAGGAATCATCGGTTGAATGCTTCACATGATGAAACCACTCCTCATTCTATAATATTCAATACGAACCATTTATATCTTCATATTTTCCATATCTATAAGACAAATCAAACTATCCATCACATGATGAAACCACTCCTCATAGATAACACACGGATTTGAAAAAACAAAAACAAGGAGCATGACACTTTGACACTTCTTCCTCCACTACTGCTGCATTGATAAGTGAAGTTGAAACACAGAATTTAACAAGCTTGAATAAAAAGGAAGTACAAAACATACCCAGCTGAACAAGAGGAATCATCGGTTGAATGCTTCAGTTCTTGGTTTGGAGCGCTATCATCAAAGCAGAGAGTTGGGCGGGGCAATCCCGGATCTCCTCCAGCTACTGAATAGTGCTGTGTTTGGTTTTCTTCCTCATACTGAAGTTCATCTTCCTCTTGATCGTCGCCGTAAAACACGGCGCCTACTTGTTCGGCTGCCCCATAATCCATCATTTCTGCCTCACTTCCCTTTTTCCCTTTTCCTGAAAATGAATAGAAAATACACTACACCTCTAAATTCACCTTCAATTAAGCTATTTGCTATTCGGCACCTTTCAAAATAGTTTTTTGTATCCCTAGAGCAAAAATACACGAATCAGAAAGAGGCAAAAGTATCATGGTCCTAACTGACTAGGTTTTATATAAGGAGTCGAGGAGGGAGAGGAGATATGCGGCGATCTCTGAAACCCTAGCTTCTATTCGGCGGAGACGGGGGATGTTGCCGCCGGAGAGTGTGTGTGCGCGTCCAGAAAACGAGCAAATGAGAAATCAGAATTTATGCTGTTTGTCAGTAATTTGGTGGATTTTGAAATGGAAAACTTCCCGAAATAGGACTAAAACAGGTTCAAAAATTCAAAATATGATTGTCATGTTTTTTATCCCCAAAATAAGATTAATTAGTGTCATGTTTTGACAGTAACAGATTTCAAACATGACAATATTTTCTAAAAATGACAGTAATTAGTCCTATTTTGGGAATAAAAACATGACAGTCCTATTTTGTAATTTTCAAACTCTTTTAGTCCTATTTCGGATAATATCTCTTTTAAAATCTAGAGAGGATATTGCACCAAATTTTGATTAGAATTCAATACGGGTATATTTGACATAATTAGCTGAAAAGATACTTTTATGAGTATTTTTATAATAGAAATTACTCCAAATAGGACTAAAACTATGGTAAAAACTCAAAATAGGAATTACTATGTTTTTCTTTTCAAAATAGGATCGTAATATCATATTAGTCGTAGGGTATGTTTGGCACGACTAGCTGAAAAGATACTTTTGTAAGCTTTTAAGTAACTGTTAGCTTTTAGTGACTGAAAAAATCTTAAAAAGAAAATGTGGTAGCTGTTTGGTAAAAAGTCAACCGTTTGATATACAAGTAGTTCTATTTGGTATACAGGCAGTTAGGACATATTAATACTAAAAGTCACGGTCTTTTCTCAGATTCTACTTCCCGCAATATCTCGAAAAAGATCTTTTATTTTTTGAAAAGCTCTTAAAATTTTTCATGCCAAACATACAACTAAAAGCTTTTAGAGACTTTTTAAACAGTACGAAAACTAGAAGCCAGAGACTTATGTCTGCCAAACATGCACATATTGGAAACATAACTATATTTTCATTCCATTCTTACCCTTCCTTTAAGTATGAGTTAATTAAATGTTTAATTCATAATAAATTCGAAAAAATTCAAAAAAAATTCAAAAAAAATAAATAAATAATTTATAAAATAATTACAAAATAAAAAATTAAAAAAAAAACAATTTTTTAATTTTTTTGGAAAATTAATAAAAAATAGTAAAACTCCATTAAAAAATTAAAAAATATATGGATGTCTTTCCCACCGCCTCCACTACCTCCCTGCACCACCATCTCCGGCCGGTGAAAAAAATGTCATTTTTCCTAAAAATTGTCATTTTTTCTGAAAATGCCTAAAACATGGCATATTTCTCTTTGAGAATGCCAACATTTTCATTGTTTTCTGTCATAAATATGGCATTCGTAATGAACTTGGAATTTTTTCCCCTGGTGACTGGAGGTGGTGGTGTAGAGGCGGCAGATGCGGCGGTGATTTTTATTTTTATTTTTTGAGTTTTTTGTTTTGTTTTTTTTTATTTTTTTATTTTTTGAAAATAAATAAATAAATATATTATTATTATCGAAACATTTTTATTAATTTTTAGTATTTTTTATGATTTTTTATTATGTTTTATTATTTTATTATGAATTAAAACATTTCAATAGCTATAAGGGTATATTTATCCAAGACACACATAATTAGTCCTATGAAAACATAGTTTACTTTTTTGTCCTATTTGTGCAAAGTGAGTGACTTTTAGTCCTATTTTGATAATTAACCCTTTTAATAACTGTAACTCCCTCGGTCTCAATTTGTAAGATACATTTACTATTCACTTGGTCAACATAAATCACTCTTAATCTTTTACTTAATATATCAAAAGTTTATGAAATTTGAATTATTTTTTCAGACTTTGTAGCGGTTTTAATGTAGTTTATGAATATGTAAATTTTATTTTCTAAAACTAATTTGAGTGTTGACAGCGATCAATTTGCTTTATCGTCAGTCAAACATCGTAAACCAAAAAGTATCTTACAATTTGGGACCGGGAGTAGCTTTTAGTGACTGAAAAGATCTTAAAGAGAAAATGTGGTAGCTGTTTGGTAAAAAGCTGATTATTTAATTTAGTTCGGTTTGGTATACAAGCTATTAGGACTAATTAATACTAAAACTCATAGGTTTTTTTAGATGCTGCTCACTGTAGTATCTCAAAAAAGATATTTTAATTTTTGAAAAACTCTTAAAAATGGTAATGTCAAACATATAACTAGAAGCTTTTAGAAACTTTTTGAACAGTACAAACGCTAGAAGGTAAAGATTAATGTCTGCCAAACATAGCCTATGTGTCACTATGTAACAATCGATTTTCTTTGCATTAGGAATAAACTTATTAAAATCAACATTAATAAAAAAGATTCTTTGTACAACTCATTAGAAATATAATTGATGGTCTTCTAATCAATTGTTGAAGTAGAGTAATTTGTTTATACATCGCAAACATAAATTAACAATCGGATTAATTACATAAATAGTTATTTACACTTCTATATTTAGAGGGCGTTTGGTGATATCAAAATTGATTGAATCAGTTGATTCTGCTGAAATTTCTGAAATCCTGGCTGAAGTGGCTGAACTGGCTAGTTCTGCGAGTTATGAAAAAATTATATTTAAAATATATTTTATGAATAAAATAAAGAAAAAATTATCTGTAAAAATAACTAAAATTGTTCTCTACATAACTTCAGCCGATACAGCAAGAAAGTAAATTCAACCTTACTTTTTCTCGTTATTACACAATTCAGCGTTAAGCTGAAAAGTTACGTGTTTCATAAAAAAGTCGTCCCCCTGTTAAGATGAAAAACAGTGTTACCAAATAGGCTCTTAATCACTTCTAATTGTTCATGTCTTTTCTCAAATAGAGGATCATATTTAGACAATGATTATACTTTTTGGATGTTAGTTGTCAAAATACTTATTTTAAAATATAAATGTAATTGTATACATTTTCTTTCATACTCCCTCCGTCCCTAAATGTTTGTCACACTTTCCCGAAACGGATGTCTCAAAATGTTTGTCATACTTTTTCAACTTCCTTATTTGGTAAACAAATCTATACCAAACAGTGTCAAACAGTGCAAAACAGTGTCAAACAGTGCCGCTACAGTGTGAAACAGTGTCGCTACAGTGTAAAGTCAAATTCATCTCCTTAAAACTTGTGAAGTCAAAGTGTGACAAACATTTAGGGACGGAGGGAGTATAATATAAAGTAAAAAGGTGGGTAGCAATTTTGTATTTTTTGTAGCCCATGAGTAATTAACTACAATAGGTTATGTAAGATGGTTAAGGGGAGAGATGCAAAATAGATGTAAAACAATGTAAAAGTGAAAATATAAAAGTAATACTCCCTCAGTCTCAATTTATAACATACATTTACTATTCACTTGGTCAACATAAATCATTATTAATCTTTTACTCAATATATCAAAAGTTAATGAAATTTGAATTTTTTTGCAGACTTTGTAACGGTTTTAATTAGTTTCTGAATATGTAAATTTCATTTTCTAAAACTAATTTGAGTATTGACAGGGATCAATTTGCTTTATCGTCAGTCAAACATCGTAAACCTTAAAATATCTTAAAATTTGGGACGGAGGGAGTAGTTGCGTAGAACTAAAAAATAATGAATTGGAAAAAACAACCCTAAAAACAGGTAACTCAATGTCATCTTGCCAAAGAATGCCATCATGTAAAAATGCAGGATATCATTGCTAGAGTAAAATATACGGAGTAGTATTTTGCATTTTATTAGTAACTAGACAAAGCACCAGTGTCATGCACGGGGTATATCTAGAATTGAATAATTTTTTTTTTAAATTATGTTATACGATGGTACTTAATGTGTGATTTTGCCAAATTAAAAAACGATATAGTTTATATGTTGTAACTTTTATTATATACGAAGTACGTAGTAGTAGAAAAAATATTCTATTGGAAATTATTTATAATTTAAAAATTATATGAAAATGTTCTTTGTTAAAAGTACTTTCATAAAAGTATAAAATTTATAACTTCCATAATATTATACTAATCAAAATCATGGTTTAAATTTTTTGAAATGGCAAAGTTTTTTGGGACGGATGTAGTATGCGTTAGTAGTTGTAGAAAAATTTGAATCGTACGCAAAATTGCAAAAATAAAATAAAATAAATGATAATGTGTTATTATAAGCTCTACGTGAAAAACAATAAACTCTACATGACAATGAAGTTAAGTTGATAGTATGATTATTAGTGGCTAACCATAGAATCTAGAATTACAAAAGTTAATGTATTTGATGTTTAGTGTTCTCAAAGTGAACTATAGAATGAAAAACTATAGTTCCCATATAATAAACTGAACGTATAAGTTTGAGTTTGATTATGATTGTTCTGTTTATGAATAAATTAATACAAATAAACTTGTCAAAACCGGGAAAAATTAATAAATGAACACATATTTGTATAATCTTCACAAATTTATAAACAAAACATTCATACGTTTAACCAAACCAAACGTTAATACAAAGTTATTGAACTGAACATAAACATTCAGAAGGTTAAAAAAATTAATTAATCATTAGGAAATACACTCTCGAATAAGTTTGAAACTATTTTTATTTTTTGAAAAGTGAAACTATTTAATCACGAAGATGTATTTAGTAAAAAAATCGAATTAGATAATTATATACTCCGTAATTATGAAGATATGTTTTGAATAAAATCAACAATCTTGTTTAAAACTCAGTGTGATGTCTATAAAAATTATTTAATCATGAGGAAATATTAGTACGATAAATTGTTAATTCTTTAATTGTGATGATTTTTAATTAGTAAAGTATATTCGAATTTAAATAATTATTTAATTATGAGGAATTTTTTGAAATAAATTTAAAATTAGCTTTTGATCCAGTAAAGCGTCTCGAGCGTGGTTACATTTTGTGACTTTTGGTATTTAGTAACTTGCCACATCCGAATAACATGTACATGAACTCTCCATTCGATGCACCTGAGTTGAATTTCATCAAGATTCACTTTTTCGACAGACATCGTGGACAAAAAAATAATTTTTGTACATGACTTTTTATGATGACTTGAATATATGTGTGGTTATGTATACAAGCTATATAGGGACATGCGGCTAGATTTTCTTCAGCAAAACTTTCCTCTCTAGACACTAGAGTATTCATCCGTATATTTGGAATGCAATAATATTACCATTGTAGTATTCATGTGCCATCAATGTTGTAGTATTAGAAAAGTGTATATATTCATGTATTACCCTTGAAAATGAAAATAATCAATAACGGATATATGCAAAATTTATTAAATTTTAAAGGCATATATTAATTTCCATTCTTATACTCGATTAATGCATTCGCACACTCAATTTCCAATTTTAGTGATTACCGTATACTAATTTAGAATTTATTTCCACCCAAATCTATACTCCAATATAGTGAAATATTAATTTCCAGTGTTGTCCTTCAAATGAGCGTGATTTTTATTTGCCTCCAAAAACTGTAGCAACTTTACTACTTTATATAATATAAGGATAATAAAAAAGATCTCATTTTGTATATTCATACGAACAACAAAATATATATTAAAATAAATCCAAGGCAATGTTAAACTAAAAAAACAATACTTTCAAAATATGATTATTTGTTGATAGTATAATAACATACTATGTTTGACCATGTTAGGAGTATAACTCCATTTTTTGTTCCAAAATATGGCATTTTCTAATCGAAAAATTATGGAATTTCAAATTCAAAACCGTGACATTCTAGTATTAAAAACATAAAATTTCATATCAAATTAGGGTATTTTCAAATCAAATTTGACATTTTCAAATCAAACTATGTCATTTGTAGATCAAAATGTAAAAGAATGAAACCTAAGAAATGAGAACATAATCTTCAATTAACTTTGGCATTGAAAATACAACATTTTCAAAAGTAAATTTAAAATTAAAAATGATGTAAAACAAAAGCAACATAAAAATTGTGAAAATTGATTTTTTTTTTTCAAAAACAAAGAAAAAGAGAGAATGAAGCCAAATGTCATATGGATTGGCAGAAAAATGTCATCTCGAGTAACAAAAGAATTCAAGCGTAGTTCCCGAATTATAAACAGAATGATGATGAGGAATACCTGAAATTTCAAGATAATAGATTTCACTGCTACATAATTATTACAACCCTAGACCATCACTTGGGAAACTCGAGAAGTCTTTCTATCAGAAGAGAGAGGGAGAAGAAGGGGAAAGGGAAACATAGTAGTTTTTGATGGGGATCTCTAATCAGAAGAATCATTATGATTTTCAGCCTTTAGTGATGTGATTGAATTTTCGTCATTAGAAATATCTGTCATTACTAGAGTGATCATAACGGACACCTACATAAGGAATTTGGAGCAGAGGAGAGACATAAAGTAAGGATGGGAAGGAGGATAATAAGAGGACACATATGAGAAAGAGGAGAGACTACTTATTATCTTCCGTTGGTGCGATATGATCCAGCGGTGTGATTTGGAATTTATGGGAGTCGAAGAAAAGACTATAAACAAGGTGAGGTGTGAGGGAGGAGATGATTGGGATCTATGGAAGGGTAGTAAGTGGTATAAAGTTAGAGAGGGTAATATATAATAGAACAAGGATCCTATTTTGGGAAAAAAGTTGAAATAATGACAACTATATGACTAAAATAAAAATAGAGAGCAAAATGGTGACTATATATATATTCTAGTGACTATATCATGACTATGTTTAGGTTTAGACCATAGTGATCATGATGTTATACTCATTTCAGGATGATTTGCAAGTTAACAAGGAAAATATTCATAAGGGGAATAACACTTTAGGAGAAACATAAACTACTTCTGAATTTAGAGACTTGACGAGAGTCAAGATATAAAGTTCCAGCTCAAGCCCTTTCTAGTTCTTTATCTTCAGATGATGAGATAGAAGTTATATTTTTTCCACGTGAGTAATAGATCGAGACCTATTGAACCGCTAAGGGGATCGCTCTTGAAATTGTATTAAGATTACGAGAAAGAGTATCAAAAAACAAATGAGGACTTCCTTAACATTAATTTTTTACTTGTCTTTAGCTTTTCCCTCTCATCAGCATTTATACTTTCATGTGATTCTTTTATAATAAAACTTTTTCATTATGCAATAAAATGCATTGATTAAGAGGCCAATTATTAATATGACAACATGATGCATATCATATATCTTGCTTAAAAACGTTCTCATTAGCATTTGTAACTTTCTTAAGTTTCTTTGATAATAAAACTATCTTATACATCACATATGTGAAGCAAAAAGTGATTCCTATATTATGTTGTGTGTGAGGGTGAAGACATAGAAAGCTGCCATAAAAAGGAGTAAAAAATGTGAGAATTTTAAATAAGTGTTTTTTTTAAATATAAGTAAATACTACGTAGTACGGAGTATAATGTTTGGAAAAATAATGTCAAAAATGACAGTAGCTATCATATTAATGTTTTTTCAAATCAAAATATAGCAATATGATTTCCATATGACAATAATTTCTCCCTTTTTAGAGAAGTTGAACGCAAAGGAAAAATTTATCCCTATTTAGAGAATTTGAATGCAGTGTTACTATTTTAGAATTTTGCACTCATATTTTGAGAGATTTCCTCTTTGCCAATTAAATTCTAAAAGTAAGTGATTCTTGTTTCATAAACTATTCTGACATAAAATATTATCTGTAATTTTGAGTTAATTTTTTATAAAGTTTACCAACTTATGTTCGAATTAAAATAACACAACCAAGAAGCACTACATAAATACATAATCTTGTAAGAGCAATTAAAGGTCATCCAAAAAATGTTACCATTGTCATAGTCACGCTTTTGTCATTGTCATTACCATTACAGCATTACTACCACTACCAATATATGGAGCACATTGACGTGATGAATGAACATGATTTACTAAATATTTTACTTAAATTAATCATGTTCATTCATCACCCCCAACATGCTCCGCAGTCATCAAACTGGCGTGATTCATATATTTACTCTCACTTCCGTTTCAGTTTTCATATCCGTTTCCGTTTCCATTTTCGTTACCGTTACTTAAAAAACAAAAGGCGAAAAACGAGTTTGAAAGTTACTGCAAAAATCCACCTTTCCAACATTCTACCATACAACTCTTCCAAATGAAAGCCGCTGCAATACAAAATGTGGCCTCTAACTTAAAACCAAACAAAAACTGCCAAAGAACAGCAAAGGAACTAGAACCTTAGAGAGCTAAGAAGCCCCAATCTTGAAGAAGCAAATGGGAAATATGAAATAATTTTTTTTTGGAAGAGGAAATATGAAATAAATAGATAGCGGATTGAGTTTTATCATTATAATAAATGAGCATAAAATCAGCATGATGCAATTATTTTTTTGCAGTTTGAACTATTCCGAATATGGACTCAAGAATCAAGATGTGTTGGGTGTTATAGACCCTAGTACAAGATCAAAGCCCAAGGTGTTTTATAATGAAGAGAATAATTAGAAGCTACGGTGCGTTTGGACTAAAAAGCCATCTTCCTCCAACTTAGGCAGGGAAGGTGATTTATAGTTCCACCAACAGATTTTGGGACAAGGAGGCTGATTATATATTTTGATTAAATAGAACACCTAAGATAACCCGTGGGTCACTCAAGTTGCCCCGTCTTAGTCCACGTGGTAGACACAATTCTCTTACAAATTTACACATAGTGACATGGGGAGCACAACTAGTCATGGACTGGTCCGGCCCGTAGCAGATCCGTTTTTCTGGTTTCGAGCCTAGGACATGCCCTATCTGCCCTAGAGAGGTACCCAGTCCGAGTATACATACTTGGGGACAGAACCGGGCGGTCTAGATCCCAGTTTTGGTCCCACCTAGCGATTTTTTTTGTTTCAACCTTGGAACCGAGCAAATTAAAAAAAAAAAATCACGGAACCGGGATCGACCGACCTGCCTCGAACCGGGTACCCAGAACTGGAACCGGGTCAGATCCGAGCTTCTACCAAAATTGGCAAGGACATGGCGGTCTCAGCCTGACACCGAGACTAGACTGACCTGGGTCCATGCCTAACACAACTATATTGGTGTCAGTCTATACCATGACAAAAACTTAGAGCACGAGTCATATCTTACTTTATAAATGACTTCTATGTTTTATTATATCCATAACTTGAATAGCAAAAACTTCAGACCATAAATCTATCACTTAGTAAATAAAACAATACAATAACAAAACAAAAAAACAAAACAAAGCAATTACACTTAACATAATGAACTTGAATAAATAATATGGACCAAATCATATGAACTTGAATAACTCAAGGAGGAAATACGGGTTGTGAATTTTTATAAAGCTCTCAGAAGTAGGAATTCCTTCCAAAATCAAAGGACTCCATACCTGACCTGGGCTGGGAGTGTACACTTTACACATGAAGGAGGTCAATATAAATAATTTATTTGTCAAACGTAACTTGCTTATCATATGTACTAGAAGCCTAATGACGCATGCAATTCCTTGTTCACGATGTTACCATCAATGTGAAACTTGATCCATAATTGTGAAAGGTCTAATCCATCCAACTATGATTAGCAACAGGTATCATTAGGAACATTATTATTACTCGAATCAATGTGTAATTTCCTTTCCTTCTGATAGTCCAGGTAATTCTGATATATGTAAGTTGTGAAACCCCACATTGACATTAGCAAGGCAATGATTTTGATACCACTCATCTTATCGTGCAGGATGATCACCGAAGCAGCAGGAGTGACAGCTAGAGAAAGAGTACTAATAACATTCGAGAAGAGTGAGGACACCACAAAAATCAAACCCACAACACCAACCGCACATATCTGCCACCCCACACCGGTCCACACTAACACCTGCACATATGCCACTTTTCCTGAAGTGAAACTGTGCATTTCTGCAGGCAAAGTTCTCCATTCGCCACTCACAAAAAGCCCAGCGATGGAGACTGCTGTGGCTACCAGTGATGTAAATATTTGCATTTCAAGAACCACAGAGAAAGTTTCTTTCTTTATTACTTTTTGAAACGAAAGCTGCATCAAGGAGAGTGTGAGGGAGTACAACGCAGAGGCTATGATAGCAGCAATAATTCCAAATATATATTTCCCCCTAGTTACGCCCAAAGGTTTATCGGAGTCTTCGTCAATGGCAAGCATACTCGCAGCTAACGAAAGGACAATCACAGAGTTAAAGATAAACATTGTGAATTTTTGGCCATTGATGAAAAATGAGAAAATGGCATTGAAGACTAGTTGCGTTGCACAAATAAGAGAATAAGTTGAGGCTGATAGGTACAAAAGTGAAATGGAATATAGCATGTTGTCCCCAGCAATGAGGGCACCGAGCAAGAGGTAGGTCATAGCAACCTTGATGGCGGATGGTGGAGGTCGGAGGTGGTTTGATGAATCAGCCGAGTGTTGTTTGGGAGATGGAATAAGAAAATAAGGGATTAAAAGCACAGGAAACCCAGCTGTCTGAATAATAGTGGCCAACCATGTACTGTTACCGCCTTTGTCATAGTAAATTCTCCCAAGAATGATAGCAGCAGCCTGACCAACCAGGAGGAATACCACATTCAGGGATAGTAGAAGCCAGAAGTGCAAGCGTTTGACATTCGTAATCAAGTTCAGCTCACTTGAAGCACGGTTCTTTACCGAAGTTGAAGCTTCATTTTCTGTCATAGGTGAATACACGTGATGAGAGATTCAGCAAAAGTTCATAAAAAGCAGGTCATGGAACTACTGAACTACATCCCACACTTATATACATAAAGGGAAAACAAAGAGATACCTGCCATCGAGGGATGAATCCAACCGAGGAAGTGAAAACAGCCGACTATGATAGTGAGATGGAATGGATGAAGATGGAAGATACTACATTCCTACTGTTAGATACTGCAAAAAATAATAGAAATTAAACTTCTATCAATGTATAAATACATACATTATATATCAAGAATATCAATCATGTGTATACTGTAATTAGTAGCCTAGTATTTCAGGAAATTAATAAAACACATGTAAACTAATATCGAAACTATTTTTTTCTAATATCAAAACTATATTATCGCAGGTTTGCCAACAAACCAGTCACTTGAAATTAATAATATTCTATATATCAAAGATATCTGACCAACAATATTGAACGAAAGAAGACCAAAAAATATAACATGCAATGGCGCGGCGAGCGGTGACCTGTCACCTGTCAGTAGACAAAGTCGGAAGCACTGATTTTAGGCTGATAGCAGAGAGAGTGGAGAGAAGAAACCGTTAACGTTATTACATTAGAGAACGAGGGGGTCTCAGTGTCACATTCCTATCCGCATTTAACAACTAGAGCAAATAAAAAAATTAGTCAGTGTACATAATGACTCTGATTCTAGTCATCAGAAAAATACATATATATTTGGTACTGATTAAAAAGTAAGGAATAAAAAAACACATCACTCCTTATCAATCTGAGATTGTGATATGCTCCTCTTGGCATGATGATATACTATTAATTGTTAGAAAAAAGTGTCCGATTGTTGTTTGTGTTTACAGTGAGTCATAATTTTAATTCTGTTTCGCTGAAGTTTTCAAAAATACAAACTATTATCCTCTTTATTATAAAGTAATAGATAGTATTAAAATGTATAGGACTATAGGTGCAAAGTAATGGTAATTAAAAAACATCTTTTAGCTTATCAGTATCCCTGTGACATCATTTGTGCTGAAAGCTTTCTTCTTCTAAAATTAATTATTTTTCTGAGTTTTTTATATTTTTGAATTGCGTGACTGTATGTTTTGATATTTTGTCCAAATTAATAGGTTAAAAATTCTTTGATTTCATTAGAAAGTACGTAGTATAACATTGAAGATACTTATTCGATGAAGAGAACAATGACACTATATACTTTACAATGAAGCACAAGAGGAACACAAAGAAATTGTGGGATGACATTGCTAGTAGACTACTAGGAAATGTTTAAATTTCAAGTGTTATCATAGAATTCTTGAATATTTCTTACCATGTAATGTGATTTTTAATTAATTAATTAATACTACAATGATGTTTAGGCATAGGGGTGCAAATGAGCCGAGCCGCTCGGTCAAAGCACGAATCAGGTTCGGTCAAACTCGAGCTCGAGTCGAGCTCGAGCCAGCTCGTTAAACAGTCGAGCCATAAAGGAGCCTACTAGTTTTATGTGTGTGTATATTTATATTTATATTTATATTTATATATAATATATTAACATACAATATAAATTAATATATAATATATATTAGTACTTATAATATATATGATATAATATATATAATACCGATTGGTAAATGTATATGAGGACTGGGGAGATATTAATTATAAAGTAATTTATCGAAAATAATCAAAGTTTCATCCACTATTTTTTTATTTACATTAGTAGTACAACTAGGTGGAGACTTGGAGTTAGGATTATATTTTGTTTATTTTTAGTTCTCGTAACTCTAGTTTAAGTTTAATCTTCATGATTTGATCATTTTTTATTTATTTTGGACAATATTTACTCTGCTTTTAGTTGTTCGGCATGTAAATTGCAATTTCCAAAATGTTAAGCACAAATATTCAAATATTGTTTCATACTTGAGCTCAAGTTCGAACCCGAACTTTCGAGTTAATTGAACTTGTAACTTTTGAGTCTACGGGCCAAAATTATCGGGCCAATCGAGCCGAATCGAGCCGAATAAAAATTTACGAGTTGAGCCTTGATTTTTTAAGCTCGTTCGAGCCGAGTTCGAGCTTGAGCCAATACAATATATTTCGAGCTCGAGCTCGAGCCTACATAGATTCGAGCTCCGGGTCATTTGCACCCCTATTTAGGCATATGAAATTATCTTTTAAAACAAGGAAAGTAAACAGAAAGTATACATTCAACCCTTTTTTAGGCTAGGGAGTCATTTGATCATTCAACATAAGTCAGAATTCTCATTCAACTTATGTCACTTAATCAATCGAGGCAAACGTCTTAATTCATTTAGAAGGGGAAAAATGTAAAATACCCGACTATAACTTTGGATCAAGTGTGCCACACCGATGGTTGTTTCCAGTTTTCACTAAGTTCATTCAAGGCACATGGAAAAGTTTTAAGCTTCATATTAATCATTAATGAATTTCATCTACTTATAGTCTTCAACCATAAATATATTTGTTTCGCAATTTCTCTTCGTTCTCCAAGCACGTTGGCTCGACCATAAAAATTGAAGGCTCTACTCAAAATAAAATTAGAAGCCTAAAATGCAATGCAAAACACAATACGAAGTACTAAATATTACTACTTCCGTCCCATTTTATGTGTCTCACTTTGACTTGGCACGATATTAATAAAGTGGTTGAAAAAGTAAAAATTGTGGTTGAGGTTTGATTATAATAAATTGAAATGATGTAAGCCACATATTTATCTCCAAAAGAGGAAAGGAGACGCTTATTTTAGGACATCCACAATTTTCCAGCTGTGGTGGTTCCCATGGAAGGGGCTACCCTCTATTGGGTAACCTCCCTGATTGCACGCAAACCTGGCATGACCTGCGAGGAATTCAAGCAAGTTTTGGTGGCCAGGTTTGACTCCCGATTTAAGGGGAACAGGTTTGAAGGGTTGTCCGGCGCCAAACAGATTGAATCAGTTGAGGACTACAATCAATTAGTCAGCCAAGTCCCGAGATCGTCCGATGATCATTACTTGGGATACTACATGAACGGGCTAAAAGAATCAATCTGAAGCTCGCTACATTTATTTCGACCAAGTAACTTGGAAGAAGCCTTGGAATTAGCTCGCGATGTGGAGTACAATTTGTCTGCTGAGAGTGGAGGCAGAGGCATTCCAAATTATAATCCTATAGAGGCACGTTCCAGCAACTTTTCACTGCCAAACACGGGTCCTCGGTTGACTGCTAGTGGTAGCATTATACAAGGATCAAATGGAAGCTTCTCGAAAGATAGTGGGCAACCCCCGGGACAAATTCAAGGCTGTCCGGGCAATCTACTGCACGCTCTCAGTTCACTCGACTTCCGCCGAAAGAGTTAGCAGAATTGCGGGTGAAAGGATTATGCATTAGGAGTAAGAAACCATTTACACCAGGGCATTACTGTCCCTTTAAGCAGTTGCGGGTAATGATAGCTAAGGAGTTGGACCTCCAACAGCATGAGTATTGTGAAGGAGGATGGATTAATAGAGAGCAGGAAGATCAAGGGGCGGGAACGGGCTTGAGCCCACCTTCCATGAGCTGGCTTAGTTATTTTAATTAATTCCTTTAGTTATTATGTTTCCTAGTTTATTTTGTTGCCTAGTATGATTTAATTAGGACTTGTATTAGAATTAGAGGTTTCCTATTCTATTTAGTTTTCTAGAATGGTTTAATTAGGATTCTATATAGTCACTGGCCACATTACTAGAGTATAAAGTCATCTTAGGATGTTTTTACTTTGACTGAAATTTGTTGGCCTGGTCTGGTCTGTTTAAGTCTGGTCGGTCTGACTTTCTTGAGCAGATTCGCACGCTCACTACTCAAGAAACTGGGGGACTTATGTTAGGGTATATTACCCCGGCCTACCATTATTCAGGAGTCTAAGACATTAGTTGGTACGGAGCCCAATCAGTGAGGCCCATTTCGGCCCATTTTTGGCCATCCGGCCCACCTTGGCATAACAAGCCCACCTTGGCCTCTTGGCTCATTAGGGTAGAGCACCCCCCCCCCCCCTTTCCTCTATAAATAGGAGGATTCCCCTCCTTATTAAAGATCCCTCCTTTCTTCCTCCCTCTCTCTAGAATAGCTAGCTAGCAACCTCCATTAATGGAAGCTTCATACTTGTACTATGTAAATGGTGAGGAGAGCTTAATGAGAATGAGAGTGGCTTGGACATTAGCCTAAAAAGTCCCGTGGTTTTCTCCCTTTCGGGTTTCCAAGTTAAAATCATTGTTTACATTTTATTATCACGACATAGCCACGAAACCCTCTCGGAAGGGGTGTTGAACTTCCGGGCTGCGGCGAATAAACTCAACACTACAGAAGCACAAGAGGAGGATTGAGGAATCTACCGAACAACAACAATCCATCTAAATGCCAAGTGTTCTGCTGCCTAAACCAACTACTGAGCCTACTATAATGGCTACAATGTGTCAGGTACTTCAACTTCCTTCTCCTACAATTGATATTTCTGAACTTGATGCTCTCATCAAAGAAAGGAAGGAAGACAGTGCAAAGGTAGCTGGACAGTTCAAAGAACATTACAAAAATATGGTCATTGCTCACACCATATTGTTCAAAAAGGCTTGAAGCATAGAAGAAGAAAGGAAGAAGCAAATTGGAGAGCTATGCATGACTTGTGACAGATTAATAGCTTCTTGCAAAAAGAAATTCTCTGAAACAGATGCCCAGATAGCTACTGCAACTGAGAAGGCATTTCTTTAGAAAAGGGAATGGAAAGTCTTGAGAACAACTTCAAACTCATCATTACAGAACTCATGGACGTACATGTACGCATCACCAACTTGTCTGATCAGATGGATACTTATGATACCAAAAAGGGGGAAGAAAGCAAGAAAAGAAAGAGGAGCACCCTACTCCTTGGAGAACCATCATCTCCCCCAGAAGGATCAAGATTAAAGAAAGGTCCATGGAAGGCTCTCTCAACGAAAGGACTGACAAGAGGACAAAGAGGAGCAATAACAAGGCAGATGAACAGAGAAATAAGGATGACAGAAGAAAGAGCTAAAAAGAATAATGACATCAAGCAGAAGAAGCCACAGGAATCCACAAGAAGATCATTATCCTCTGTGTCCAACTTTGAGACAGAAGGAATCAAAGAAGTCCTTAAAGATGTCAAAGATCCTGTTGTCCCTTAAGATCACCTTTTCTTTGTTAGTTTTAGGCTATGTTTGGCACAACAAGCTGGAACTGGAGGCTAATGTCTGAATTATGGGCTATTGTCTGGATCAGAGACTATTGTCTGAAGCTGGATTTTGAAGTGCTGAATCTGAATTACCAGCTGAATAGAGTAAACCCGTTTGGCAACAAGAGCTGAGACAGTGACCGGATAAAATGAAATTACATTAAAGGGTATATAATTTATTAATAGAACAAAATATTTATTATAATGATTTTATATTTAAATAAATATTACACCGTACTTCGTAAGATTTTAGTATGCATAGTTATATATGTATTCTATTGTGTGTGTGTATTACGTATACTTTTTGAATGAAGAAATACCTCTTCATGAAGAAATACCTCTTGATTGAAATAGAGGGTTGGTCTTTATTTACTACCTCCGTCCCTTAAAACTTTGCTAAGTTTGACCGGCACGGGGATTAATAAAGTAAAAACTGTGTGGTTGAGGATTCTGCAGAGGAGAGAGAATTAACTGGAACCACAAATTCTTTACTTAAAAGTGAAAGTGGCAAAGTTAGTGGGACATCCAAAAAAGGAAAGTTGGCAAAGTTTTAAGGGACGGAGGGAGTATTACATAATGATACTCTGTAATTATTACTCCGTATTTATTAACTATAGTCATATTGTGCCTCTAACAATACACTCTTGACTCTTCTCATTAGCAAAAGCACCAACCCAAATTTGGGATATAATAAAGATGATCGGCGAATGAAAGAGAGAAGCGAGAGGATAATATGGGAAAGTATGTAAATTATACACTAAACTGAACGGAAACGCTAGGCTGAGTAGCGTGTGGGTTCAGTTCAATTATTTAAGATCCAGCCCACTTAAGCTCTTTTGCCAAACAAGATTTTTAACAAAATAATTGACTGAATTAAAAATATTCCAGCCCATTTTGAGCTTATGTGTCTTGCCAAACATAACCTTAGTATCATCAAAAAGGGGGAAATTGTTAGGTCCCTCTAAGATTTTGATGATGCACGTATTATAGACTAAAAACTTGATCATGTACTTTGTAATTCACATATCCATGCATGAGAAAGTACGTACAAAGAAAAAGTACCAAAACCAAAGAAAATAAAAAGTGGTACTAAAAAGAGTTGATTGAAGAAGTGAAAATCAGTAGTCTGCTGATTTTAGGCAGCTGATTTTCATGAACAAATTCGCGGCTAAGTCTCCAAGTTACTCACAATGAAAAAGCAAAGTAAAATTTATTTACATTTTCAACTTGACTCCGAAAGGAAAGTCACAAGACTTAAAAATAACAAATGGACTGAAAACTTGTTGTCAACCCATACTCTCTTATTTGATACAAGTGAAAGCATGGGCTCAAACAAAAAAAAAAGAGTCAGGCTATTTCAAGACAAGACAAAAACAGAGCATGCCGAAGATAGAAGATCAAGTGGATGCATCAGAGTTCAAGATTGAATCTCCTCTACCAACGAGAGATATTCAACAACCTCAAGTCTATAAATATTCAAGAAATGTGACGAAGAAGATTCAGCGAGCTTAGTGCAATCAAGACAATTACATTCAGAAAATCCTGCAAAAGATAAAGTGCTAATTCATCACTTTATTCTTAGCTCGTTCACATTTCTTTAAGCTCTTAGACTAGTTCACAATGAAAAATTCATACTAGAGCTTAGAAAAGTTGGGAAGAAGTTGTAACACCTTCGGAAGAATTTGTGCTACAAATTCATAGAGTGGGTAAAATAGAACATGAGTAGCTTCTGAATCATTTTGGTTCATTAGTGAAAAATCTAGGAGTTTGGACATGAGTAGCTTTTGAATCAGCTTGGTTCATTACTAAAAAACCTAGAGCAAGAGTAACTTAGAGTGGGTTGTACTCCTTGTGAAAACCTGATAGTTTATGCCTATGATTAATGGTAAACTGGTCACTAAGTGTATTGGTTTATAACTTAATGGAAATCCATCTATAGGGTGGGACTGATGTAGGAGGATTACACCACCTCCGAACCAGGATACATAAGTGTGTCATATTCCTTAAAGTCACTAATCACAAATCAAAGTCTCCTCAAACTCCCAGAAAAACAGCTCCCTCAAAAACACGTATTTCAGCAGCCTGCTGATTTTCTTCCAGTTAGTTTCCAGAAAAACAGCCCTCTCAACTCTGAATGTGTCTACCAAAAGTCAAGTCTTCTGTTGTTGATCCTAACCTCTCAAAAGGTCTCAAGGATCAAACTTACATAGAGGGGAAAAGATCTTAAATTGAAAAGATTTAAAAATTTATTAACCCCTCCTCTAGACTTTTACCAGGGACCATCACTTTTCTTGCTCAATGACAATCAACTTTGACTAATAATATTTTTTAATACGATTTTTTTAATATGAAAGTTATATCAAAATGTACCTCATTCAATATAAATCATTGTATACAGATATAATAATAAAAATCATTGTACAAAATTTCTTATAATTGACCATGAAAAGTCAATATGGCGAACCTTTTTGGGACAGAGGTAGTATTGCACATAGAATTCATAAATTGAGAATGATTTGTTGACCGTTGATGGGAGTCTAAAGATTGAAGTCTCGAAAGAATGAAGGTTTTCAAAGAGACAAAATGTTTGGCCGCCAAGAAGACTCACGTAAGAAGACTGCCAATTTGACGAGGGGCGTAGACAGGACCAATGTTTACCCTAGGCTGACTATACACTAAAAAGTAAAAACATTATATAAAAATTTTAAAAGCGACACTAGTGTGAGCATAACGATTCAAATTCATTAAAATTCATAGTAATATTTTTAAGCAACACATACAATATTTGAAACTAAAACGTTAAGTGAACACGACGCTCTTTGACCTTAGCAAACTCTTCTATGACAGACTGAGTGAGTATAAATTAAGGAACATAATATGCTATCGACCCCCAACTAGTCTGCTACAATTTAACTAAACAGTGGCACGAGGAACTCACGGATGATGAAAGAATCTGACTTACCAGCTCTAGCTACCATAAACCAAAAATTGTAAAAAACAAAAACTGAAACCCTTACCTGAGTACCTCGACTCCTCGAGAGAACTGGAGTCTGGAGAAGCAGGTCAGCAGTCAAAGCCTTTGACTGGTAGCTGCGCAGGACGAGCGGCGAAGTGGAGGAGGGCGGTGTTCGCTGTCCGGAGAGTAGGCGATGCGAGACAGCGAGAGGATGGAGTGGTATGCTGCGCTTGGCGTGAGTTGTGTCACTTATGTGCTTCTTTTCTCTGGTTTTGGTTCTGCCGCTTCTGCGCTCTTTTCTTTCTGCGCTGCAGTGGATTGTGAACGGTTTATTTGTACTGGGCAGCCAGTATTTTTTTCCATTGGGTCTATTCTAAATATTTTTGGAAAATTTTCACAAAGAGATTAAAAAGAAAAATAATATCATTTTTATCTCCTTCCAAGTTTCTTTCAAAAATAGACGTGTTAAACAATTCTTTTCATAAATAGCTTAGGTCATATGAAACGGTCAAAACCCATTTAAATGTTAAAGGCCGGAGGACGGGGTCTAATCCCTAAATCATCACCACTGTACCGTACAGTGTTATGTACATAGACATTGGATATTAACTTCAGATTTGTAAACACTCCATATAGCTATTATAGTTTTGGAATTTCTTTTTTTCTTATAAAACAATTGTTAAAAGTTACTCCGTATTAAAATTTAACATATGATAATAATCTGGAAACAATAAAAGTCAAATAACTAAAAATTGAAATCTAAATTAAAAAGGAAATAAAACCTCCAACCAGAAAATAAAAAATCAACAAATGCATAATAAAAATGGAAATTTTGAAACTTGTAAATCAAATTTTAAATAGAAAACAATGTAATTTATGTTTTGAAAAATAAATAACAAAAATTAACGAGTAGAAAAATTGAAAAATAAGACGTTAGAAATTTAGAGTTAGTCTAAATGTGGGAAAACTACAAAAAAAAATTGTCATGACTTTTTCGTATAGTTAAATACTCCATAAATTATATCAAAATATAAACTATCAAAAATATAAATAAATCAAAAGTTCAAAAAATGGGTCTAAATATGGTTAAATACCCTAAAGTAACTACAAAGTTTTATTCAAAGTATTTTTTTCAAATCGGAATACCATATACGCATAAGTCTATAAAACACATAAAATTTGAAAAAAAAAATTAAAAATTAAAGTCAAACTTTATAAAGTAAAATAAAATTGAAGAATATAAATCTTAAATTTTATAAAATAAAAAACTTAGTATAATTAAAAATGTTTTAAAATATAAAAGCTAGGAAAATTTAAAATGTTTAAATTTCAAAAAGTAAACATGTTAAAAATATTAAAAGCAAGAAAAATGAAGTTTGTAATTTAGTTTTTCAAAAATGTTACTTTTTGTAGCATATTGTTTCTTTGTGTTTCTTTTTGTTGATAACTTCTATAGTGTTGATTTTTGTTGTTTCTCCATGCTTCTTGTTGTTGTTAATATTCATAAACCAAAATTTATGATTATGTATGTGAGTGTGTGTTACTTTTTGTAGCATATTGTTGCTTTGTGTTTCTTTTCGTTGATAACTTTTATAGTGTTGTTTTTTGTTGTTTCTCCGTGTTTCTTTTTGTTTATAATTTTGAAATTTTTGTTTTGTATTGTTTCTTCATGTTTGTTGTTGTTAATATTCATAAATCCAAATGTATCATTTTAAGTATGCATTGTTAGATTGTGCTGAGGTAGCTAAAATAAATGAAAAAATTGAAAAGAAACACCACACAACAAAATGCAACAGTTTCAAGAAATAGCAACAATATACAACAAAACGCAACAACATACAACAAAAAGTAACAACAAGCAACAAAAAGAAATAAAGTAAATAAATACAACATGCACAAGTTTCTCATTATAAATACATAATTCAATTTACAATCAAAATCATCATTACAATTTCTTTTGCCACTTTCAAACTTTTCCTCTACCAAGTTGTGGTATTTTGTCAATCACAAAAACACTTCTTGAACTGGAGAATCGACCACCACGACCATTCTGATCAAATTAAGGAATATACCTCTTGTGTTATAATCAATCAGAACTCCATTCAGAAGCTGAGCATGAACATTGAGTATATACCGATATTAAATAAATCCAATGGAAGCACAAAACAATGAGGGAACAAAAAGGAGAGGCTAAACCATTACAACTTACAAGTGATAATTTAAACTAAATTAGTATTTTCTTTACTTTCTTCTAACTCTATTTTGGCAAATGAAAGCGCATTTCTTTTCCTGAAATAATATAACTGTAATAAAGAGCTGCTTGAAACAGAGCTATATTTTTAAAAAGGGGCTATATTAAAATACCAGTCCAGAACATTGCTACTTAGTGAATGTAGTGTTAACAATTCCCACTTAATTCAAAAAAAGTAGTGATTGAACAGTTAATTGTTCATCATTCCTTCTCTTTATTTTAACAAAAACAACACACAACTAGCAATATTCCCTATTCTTCTCCAATCTTACTACTGTTACTAGCCCTTCTGATTTTGTATGGATTTATTTACAGGATGTAGAATAGACAGGACTTTAAGGAATTTCTTCGAGAAAGAGAGTGAGAAAGCAGTATTCTCTTGCAGTCTAATACTATAATTTTATTTTAGCCTTACTCTAGTACTATACATATAAGTTTTGCTGAACCTACATTCAGTAAACCTCATGGACTTATTTAGCTAGTTAGCTTATAGGTCCAAGATGTTAAAGTGATCTCTAAAATACTCATTTTTTGCTTAGAGAACAATATAGTAGATCAACAATATTGGCCAAAACACAGGAACATCAAACGTGGAGAACAAATTCATGACAAATGCCACACAAAGCTTTTGTGATAACATACCTAAATCAACAGAGTTAACAAAAAAACACCCCTAAAGGCTTATTTTGACAAAAAAAAGCCATAGAAATCATATAACGATAACAAAAAATAAAAAATCACATGTATCTAGAATTTAGGGTGAAGGATACCAGCACTTGAATTTTAAGAGGCGGCGAATGAAGCTCTGGGTCAATAAGAGGCGACAGAAAACCAATCAGCAAATTGAGAAGGTAGATTCCTAAATCAATTGAGGGAAAGCTCTTGCCCGGATGTTGGAGGAAGGTCCTTACTCAGATCTGCATCAGAAAGTTCAAATCGGAAACCTGGGCAACGACGATTATGGTCAACTCGATCTCCAAATTCATCTCTTGTCCACTCTGCTCTTCATCCAGAAAACCCTCTCATCTGCATCGGAAAACCTTAGAAGCCTTCACTTCCTATTCCCAACTTGGAGACTGTCATATTGATAACATAAACTGTCTGACATTGCGAGACAAGGAATCTAAACATAACCTCATTGACGATGCCCAATTTCGACCATGAAATCCTCATTCGATTGCTCCGGAAGCCTTCCAACGACGGGAAATATGACCTTGCTTATTTGCGTTATACGTATTACTCTTTTTCTATACGTATGGCGGAGATCTGCAAAACAGTCTAAAATTGAAATAAAAAAACATAATTTAAAATAGAAAAGATTAAAATGAGAATAAGAAATAAGTGAGACATAAATGATACGTGGAGTATAAAATTTGACCTTACGGGTAATTTCCACAATATTTTTTGGGAAATTCTATTTACACACTCCCATTTACTAAATACAGCCACCTAATTTTTTAATTCCCATTACATCCTTATTACCTAAGCTAACACAGCCTCGACATATCCAAAGCTTCACTTTCTAATGGCAATCAATTTGGATAAAGATGGTTGCTCCTCATTCCATAGAATAATTGACAATAAATCTCCCCATTAGAACTTTCCTTCTTCATTCCAATCCAAAGTGACCGGCTCTTTTGCTCGAATGCATAAAACCAACCAGTCTTTCAAACATGCCCTGGCTCCTTCGAAATTGGATTTTCTTCTGATTTTGGAGCTTCACCATTGGATTCTCTTGTGATTTTGAAGCTTCTAATGTACTGTCGTATAGATATAAAGTTACAATAGTACAATGATGATTAGGAATTACTTTGGATTTGGATTCCTTACCCCAAGTTTGACGGTCAAAGTAATCCAAACGACCCAAGTCGCTAATTACTTAGCCTCCTTTCTCCTCAACGCTGCACAATTGAAGATCCAGAGTGTCTTCTGCTTGGGCCTGGAGTAACCGTAAACGAAAGACAGGTCCAGATGAAAGGGGAAGAAACTTCGGTCGGAGGGGATGAGCTCTCATGGTTGATACTATGTCTCTGATCGATCTTGTGTTTTTCACCCGACAAGGGTAGTTTAGATGTTATGTTAATTTTTACTTATTAATATTTAATTTAATGACTGTGATTAGTAATTTGATTAATATTTAATTTAATGGTTGTGATTAGTAATTTGAGTGCTGCAAATAGAATTACTCATATTTTTAAAAATCATATATAATACAAAAGAAAAAGTTGCCTTGGGCCAGGGCCCAGCCAGACCATCCCCTCCCTCCGCCCCTTAGTTTGAAAAGTAAATGTTTATTTCATGACTAGTATAACTAAGGCGACTTCTAACTCGCTCTCGGCCATGCAAGCAATCATCACTCGACAACATCATCCTCACCTGCACAAATAAAGTGCAGAAACAAAACAAGGAAAAGAAAACAAAAATTAGCTTTAGAGCTAAGTAAGTACTACCCAACCCCGTAAAATAATCATGTTTGACTAAAATAGATCTTTATATAATAATATATAAAAATACTCACACCATCGAAATTCTTTTCACTTTGATTTTTCTCAAAACTACTTCTTTACAAAAATCCTCAACTTCTCTTTAAAACTTCATAATGACTCTTCTCTTTGATTTCCTCAAAAATCACTTCTTCTCTAACTTCCTAGTAATTTAGAAGGGCGGTGCTCAACCTTTCGGTAGAGCCCGGTGGACCGTGGTTACGGACGGCCACCCCGAACAAGTGCCGGTACCACAACTGCTCTGTTGGAAACGAAACGACTACCTTAAGTGTGCACACCCCCTAAAAGGGATTCCAAGCCCTCCGAGTAGTAAGTCGTAACGAGTAGTCGGGACTCAGTCTACCAACTACCCCTGAATAAGATATCTTGAATGATTAGGGATTACTACTACCATAACTTCTTCTTAAAAGGGATCATCGATCCAAATATCACTTTAAACTCAAACTGTACTTCTTAGTAGTAGCAAACCTAATCACCCTCCACATTTATCCGGACGTGGAAAACCGACACCACGGATTTCTCCCGTG